GTCTGGTTGGATAGTTGTCAGAATCCTAGGAGCTTGTGCAGTCAGTGAAGTACAGATGAGGCTTGTATTTGAAGCAGCAAAGATGCTTCAGGCACCCACGCCAGGAGCCCCACAGCAACCCAGCCCTGTGTACAGGGAAGACTTCTCTCTCCTCCACCCACGCCCACCCCTGCCCTCTTTCACGGAGCTCTGGTGCTGCTGACAGCAAGGTCTGCAGTTTGAAACCACCAGCCACCTCTTGAAGAAAGAGTAAGCTTTCTACTTCTGTAGAAAGCTGCGCAGTCTCGGAAACCCACAGGGGCCGTTCTACCCTGTTCTATAGGGTGACTATGAGCCAGGACTGACTCAATGGCAGTGTGGTGGTGGTGGTTGTTCCCTCCTCCAGCCCCCACCCCCTCACACTTAATGCTCAGTGCTTACTCTGGTGTGGAGAGACAAGTCCCTGTGGGAACCTAGCACACAGGTTCTAGCCCAGAGCTGGTCTGATAAAAAATACAGTGCCAGTCACATCTCAAATTAGAAAGTTTCTTTAAAAAAATTTTTTATTTTAAACCTCGCTCATTATATCCAAAAGCTCACGGTCATATATTGGGTGATTACTACTTTTACAATGATGAGCGAGAAGTGTTACAGTCTTTCTTTATACCGCGGATTTTGAAGTGTGTGTTCACTTCTAGTGCCTCTCGAAATTGGTTGTAGCCATTCTTCAAATGTCAGCAGCCACATGTGGTCAGTGGCTGCTGTCCTGGGCAGCTCCGCGTGAGGTTCTAGACCACAATGACCTAGAACACTTTGTACGAATGCAAAGTGGTGGCCACTGGCAGCCGCAGGTTGGTTACTGAGCCCTTGAGATGTGGCTAGTGTGACTGCAGGACAGGACGCACCACTTGATTAAATTGTAACTAATTACAATATACATTTAAATAGGCACTCGTGGCCGGGGCTCCTACAGTGGGCAGCTCAGCTCTAAGTACAGAGCCGTGCACCTGTGTGAACACCTGTAGTCTGCATGACCCGAGACACTGTTGAACAACCGTGGCCCTTCGTTTTTTCCTTTATAAGTGGGACATACGGAATAGCACCCATTAATACGTCTCTCCTGAGGCACTGAGAACAGGGACTAGCATATAGAAAGTGCTCGATAACTTTAGCTACTCTTTTTTTAAAGCAAGGAAAGGGAAATCCCTGCACTGCCTTGTACATGTTTGCAGCCAGATGGAGCTGACAGGACATGTCCACAGGAGAAAGAAATCGTTAGCTACAGAAACAGAAAAACCACAGCGTTAGAATGGTCTGAGGTGTCGTGAGCTCCATCTATCTCCCAATGAGCATCTGGTGGGTTTGAACTGCTGCCCTTGTGGGCCACAGCCCTATGTGTAACCACTAATTGTTTCATTTTGGGAGTGGGGTGGAGGGGAATCTTTTGGCTTCAAGTAGAAGTAGAAACACATTAAAGAGTTGACTTCATTCCCAGGATGAAAGGAAATTCAAACATACACCAAAGAGATGCAAATGAGTGGTTTAGGCATTAAAGAGACTCCTAAACCAGGTGAGGAGTCCTGGCAGTACAATGTTACTCATTGGGCTGCTATCCCTGAGGTCAACAGATCAAAACCACCAGCAGCTCTGTGGGAGAAAGATGAAGCCTTCTACTCCGGTAAAGACTTGCAGTCTCAGAAACCCACCAGGGAAGTTCTACTCTGTCCTACAGGTTGCTATGAATCAGAATCCACTCGATGGCAGTGAGTTTGATTTTGACTTGTGGACACCAGCTGAGAAGTCCTGGTGGAAGGATGGTTAAGCAGCTCAGCTACTAAGTTCAAGGTCGATGGTTTGAAACTAGCAGTAGCTCCAAGGGAGAAAAGACCTGGCGATCTGCTCCTGTGAAGAGTACAACCTTGGAAGCCCGTGGGGCAGTTTTTCTCCGTCCTCCAAGGTTGCTCCCAGCCCTGACGGCATAGTGGTTACACATAGGGCTGTGGTTCAGAAGGGCAGCAGTTCAAAACCACCAGAGGCTCACTGGGAGAAAGATGGGGCTTTCTACTCCCTGTAACGAGTTACAGTCTCGGTTGCTATGAGTTGGCATCGATCTGATGGCAGAGAGTTTGGTTTGGGTAGGGTGGCTTGGAATTGGATTCGGCAGCAAGCAGCCGCCACCGATGCCAGGCAGGCCTGGGCTTCAGCCCCTCTTCAATGACTGTGGCCACTTTCTCCCAACCGCAGAGGACTGTAGGAGTCTTACACAAGACAAGGTGTGCAAGGTGCTACCCGTGCTGAGCATAAGACTGGAGCTTAGTCATTGTTCACCTTACAATGACTTTTTAAATGAACAAAGTCCAACTGGGTCTTTAAACAAACGAATGCCTTTTGAGGCTCAAGGGGAAGTAAACTGTTGCCTGTGGCCCTCATCCCCACCCCCAACAAAAGAACAGCCAAGTTTCCCTGCAGGGGGTGGGGGTGGGAGCATTTTGAAGGCAGAAGTGACGGCCCTAGAGTGGCCCCTACCTGTGTGTGGGTCCAGCAGGCTGGACAGCTCTTCTTCTAGTAGCTGCTTCACAGAGAGGTCTTCTTCAGAGTCCAAGAGCCCGTCCTCCTGGTCCAGTCTTGCCTGGCCACCCATGCTGGCACCGGGACCATCTGTATCTGGCACTGCACTCCTGCAAAGGAAGCCACCCAGCCCCCTAGTGAGGAAATGCAAGCATTGAGTCATGCATCCTATTCATTCATTCATTCATTGAGGCTTTTCACACCAAAACCAGCTCATGTAGCAAAGTGGAAGGGTGTGTGTGTGTGTGTGTGTGTGTGTATGTGTGTGTGTGTGTGTGTGTGTACATCCCCCAGCCTTCAGAGTTACACTAACCTGGACATGTAATTTCAGCCCGGCTGCTTACCCTGAATCTCAGCCTCCTCATCTGTACAATGGGGCTAATCGGTAACAGCCTCCTCAGGAGTTGTTGTGAGGGTAAAACTAGAGGCGGTTTTCAAAGGGCTTAGCAGGGTGGCCGGCACCTCATCAGCATGCAACAGCTGGCAGCCGTTATGAATGCATTGATGGGATCTGTACTCCTCCAGGGCCCGACAGCCTGACACCGAGCCCTCCCTCCTCCACCCATCAAACTGTGAGCTCAGTGAGGGCCAGCAGTTTTGTCTCTCTCGTCCCCGACTCTCAGTAGCTGGCCCACAGGGGAGTATGTGTACCATGTGGAACGGAGGACTGAATGTTCTCTGCTCCCTGTCTGAGGTCACACTCCAGGGCAGAAGAGCTTATCTACGGTGGCGAGCACTGCGGTGAGGCAACTGGAAGCTTCTCAGACATCCCACAGGCCAGGGTCCTGCTGGCACCCCTGCCTCTCCCCACAAAAAACCCTCAAACCCCCAAACCACCTTTCACTATCGAGCGGATTTCAACTCATGGCGACCCCATGCTTCATAGAGTAAGACTGCTCTGTAAGCAAGTGGCTTGCACTTAACTACTAATCTGAGGGTTGGAGGTTCAAACTCTCTCAGGAGTACCTTGGAAGAAAGGCCCAGTGATCCACTTCCAGGAAGATCACAGCTCTTTCCCAGCTCACTGCCTTCGGGTTGATTCTGGCTCCTCCTCATTCTGCTGAGGAGCACCTGATGGCTTTTGAACCTCTGACCTCGTGGTGATCAGTCCAACGCTTATCTTGACAGTGCCACCAGGGTTCTTCTGCATGAACACTCCCTGTCTCTTGGGAGAGGCCAGAGGGGCGGTCTTGATCTGAGAGCACAGACCTGCCCCTGGCCCCTGTGAGAGAGGAAGCTCCCTGAAGGGCTTTAACACCTGGGGTCCTCTTGGCCTTTTCTGCTGCTGTAAAGGAACCAGGAGGAAGGTGCCTAATTGGCGAGCATCAGTAACAGCCCAAAGAGTCCTGGTGGGGATGGCAGGTAAGCGTTCGACTGCTAGCTGCTAGATTGGCAGTTCAAATCCATCAGTCGCTCTTCAGGAGAAAGATGGGGCTGTCTGCTCCCGTAAAGAGCTGCAAAGCTTCGAAACCCGGTGTCTGTAGGGTGGCTCTGAGTGAGAATTGGCTCATGCAGGCCATGGGGTAAGTGCTGCTGATGGAAGGACCGCTGTATGACAGTGACGCGATCGATGGCTCACCATGTGGTGAGCTTCACACACATCAACAGCAGCTCGGGGCAGCCAGACTTGCAGCCTCGGCAAGCCTGTGACACAGTATGCTCCGTTGCATGGGGTCGGGTGACTTGAAGCCCGCTTGACCACCCGCAGCAGCAGCAGCAGCAGCAGCACTATGGACCAGCAGCTACTCCGTGCTGGGCTCTGTGCTTGAGAAGGGTGCATCACCGTCTCATACCAACCTGCCATACCTCCAAGGGATTCTCTCGTTATCACCCCATGTTATAAGCGAGGAAATGGAGGCGTGGAAGGATTCTGCAGCTTGCCCAGGTTTGCCATGGATTAAGTGACAGAGCACAAATTCAAATCCAGGCCATGTGACCCTGAAGGTGTGACTCACCCCTACTCTGCACTAACCCTCACTGTCTTTGCTAAAAACACAGTTACAAGTTGTCAATACAATAAATTCCATACATTCAGTAGACAAGAGCACTGGACCAGGGGTCCTATGCCCTATCTCCCGTGCTGTGTAACCTTGAGGAAAGTCACTTTAAGAGGCCAGGACTTAGCATTGCTCTAGCAGTGATTCTCAACCTGTAGGTTCGTGACCCTTTTGGGGGTCGAATGACCCTTTCACAGGGGTCGCCCGATTCATAACAGTAGCAAAATGACAGTGATGAAGTAGCAAGGAAAATAATTTTATGGTGGTGGTGGGGGGTCACCACAACATGAGGAACTGTCTGAAAGGGTCGCGGCATGAGGAAGGTTGAGAACCACTGCTCTAGCACCTACTGTGTGTCAGCCAGTGGACTGAGTATAGGATGCATGGATCATCGGCTCCTTCCTACATCTATCTCTACAAGGCAAGTGTTGGGACCTTGTTTTGCCAATGAGGAAACTGAGGCCCTAAGCAACTATCTGACTTGCTCAAGATTACAAAGGGTTGGATCAAACTCTTAGAGCCTCAGTGTCTCCATCTGTAACATGTCCTTGTGAGGTCTCTGCTAATCTAGGATTGACCACAGGGCCACTTCTGTGACCTTGGCCAAGGGCCTTCAGAGTAAGCTCAAGGGTCACGAGAAAGAAAGTCAAAAGTTACAGATTTAAAGCTGATGGCCCAGCACCTCTGCCACCCAGGGATGGATAGCGAGAGACTCGGGTGAAGTCATTTCCTTAGTGACACTGTGTCCTGTACGTACCATAAATACAGTAGACCAGGACCAAGTCCTGGGGGCGGGGGCGGGGTGCTGTCTGCCGCATGCTCCCCGGGGAGCAGTGTGTCTGGGGGCAGGTGCTCTCACGGGGAGGGCCCAGCCGGTGGGGGACCCAGAGAATTCGGGACTACATGCTGCTTACCTGCCGCCACCAGCGGGCTTGGATGAATACTTATTTCCCCGGTGGTTTGGTTTGGGCTGGAATTGGCCCTGATGCAGCAAGGACAGCAGCTGGGAAATTTGCTACAAGACAGGAAAAATCTGTTGACTCCACACAATTCCGACCCAGCACACTTCCTCGCCGGATGTTTCCCTCAATGCCGGTGCTTTCTTTTTATAGTCTTTCCTCGGGCTGCAGAGGCTTGGGGGACCAGGTGGGGGATGGTGCCGGGTCTCGAAGACGGGGACCTGTGCAGGCAGGCTCCCGGCTTTGCTGTGCAGTCCCAGGACCCGGGTGCTTGAGGGAGAGGATGGGGCCTCTCCGCCCTGCCCCTTATTCACCCCAAGTGACCTGCTTCTGGTGCAATCTGTAGGATGGGGGCTAAGAAGGCATTTCCTGACCATAAATTCATTCTTACACTGATAAAGATTATCTTAAACAAACAGCTCTTTTCTCCCTTCAGTGAAATTCCTATTCAGCCAGTGTTTGTGGGCCAGATGTGGCACTGTGTTGTGGAAAAGGGAAAATGGTGTTATTTAAGTATTAGTTTATCCATCCTTTCTTTCATTCTACAAGTCTTTAGTAAGGGCTTGTCTGGGCCTGCCCCTGGGCTTGGTACGAGAATAAGAAGGAGAACCAGACCCGTTCACTGCCCTTGGAGCTCACAGCGTCTCGGGGAAGACAGGGAGAGGGGCTGCTAAGGGGGGTTGCGCTGGTGGTGCGGAAGGTGGGGATCTGTGAGAACAGATGTGGGCCCCTAACCTGAGTTGAAGAGGAGACAAGAGAGGGGTATCAGGGAGATGATGTTCCTTTTCTTTCACAAAGGTCTACAGAATGTATATTATGGGTCAAATACATCTGTTGAGACCTAAAGTTTCCACAGGAGAGGCGGGGTGAGGGCCCGGGCAGGATTGAAGAGTGGGTTTCCAGCACCAGGCTCTGCAAGTAGAACGGCTGGGAGGCCGAAAAGGCCGGAAGTGATGGCTGGGGGTGGGTGGGATGTCATGATCAAGCCCTGCGTGGCGGGGCCTGTGAGGGAGAAGGCAATAGGCCAAGGCTTGCGAGACCACATTCTTGTTCCAGCCACTTCTCGGGTGTTGTATAATGTCAGGTGGGGTCTGGACCCCCCTCAGACCTCAGTTTCCTCTTCTCTAAGGTGTGGGACTCGACATCCTTGCTCATACTTCTTCACAGGGTCAGGGGGATTAATTAGACAGCTTGAAAAAGTGAAGGATGCTCTGTAGAGGTGAGGGATTTGGAAGTTCGTTACTCCTGGAAGAACTCTCTATCTCTGAGCCCTGGGTTTGTTCCACTCCACCCTGGGGATGCTCACTATGCCCCTCTGGGCAGCTCCAGGCAGGAAGTGGCGACCGTAGAGGAGAGTGAAAGGAGAGGGGGACCATGAGTGGGATCTCACTGTGACTCGGGAAAGTCAGGGCCCCATTGCCCACCTCCAAGATAAGTTCAACTCCTGAGCTCCTGGCTCAGGTCTAGAAGCCCGAGACACTGGCGTGTGCTCAGCCACGGACGACCAGACACTGCCATGAGGGTCACTCCACAGAGCCCAGACTCTGGACTCAGACCTAGCTTCCAGTCCTAAGTCTGCCGCTTCCCCGGGCCCGTGTGTGGCCTTGAAGAATGATGAGCTCTCTGAGCCTCAGGCCCCTCAGCAGTAAGTCAGGGAATAATAATGAAACCCAAGTTCTGTAACAGGGAGAGGGTGAAATAAGCCAAAGCGAGATACAGTGTCAGTAGATCGCAAAACAGGCGCTTTATAACTTATCAAGGTGGCAAACAAGCTCATTTAATCCTAAACTTTAATAAAAGGGAAGAGATGTTATTACACCCATTTTGCAGATATGAAAACTGATGGCAACCCCTATAGTTAAATTCCATGCCCTGTGACACTGTGCAGCACATCACATATACACCAGGCACGGCTCCTCTTTCCCTTAAGTTGCTTCCAAATGGGCGCCTTCTTTCCTATTGCTCCAGTGGACCACCCACAGTGCCTTTCTCTGTAGTCTATTCACCAGCCACCAGCAAAGTGTTTGCCATAAAAGACTTCTCCAATAAGTATAGAATGAATGAATGAATGAATGAATGAATGGCTCCTGGCAACCTCTGGGGCTGCATGGAGCCCAGGGTGAGCCACAGATGAGAGCAGGTGGACTCCTTCCAGGGGGATTCCTGGGGAAGGAAGGGGGCAAGGAAGCCATGTCCTTGCTCTGCCAAGACTGAAGCTGACGGCTTCACTAAACAGAAATGTGCGTGCCTTGGGTGGACAACCTGGCACAGTGAACATTATACAGAGGCCCAGAGGGGCGGCTGTGGGTACAAGGTCAGGCACCATTCAGGGAAAGAGAGTTCCCATTTATGCCTAGGAAATTCTGGGTCACTCGACATGTTGTCATCCATCAGCCGTTTCACCTTGCACCTCCCTGGGAGGTGAACACAGGGAAAGTTTGACATGGTTATGCCCATCTCATGGGTGACCAAGTTGGGGCTCAGAGGTAGTGAGTGATTTCCTCAAGACCACAAGGGTGTGAGCTCTACTGGCCCCAGAGCTGTGCTCTCTACCACTGCCCCACTGTGAACCACAAAGGGATTCGTATCAGGGATATGAGGGCCATAGGGGCATCGGATGCTACTGTTGGTGGTCCACAGGTGAACAGGAAGGGACTGCCCACACCTGACATACCTGGACAGGCGGTGAATCCACGGTGAGCTCCTCCATAGGGTTCCGCTCGGCGAAGGCAGCCACGGACAGACGGACCAGGCTCCGCAGGATCTGACGGGGGCCAGACTCCTTCTCAGGGGCCACTTTGGCGTGGAGACCTCGTTTCCGCCGCAGGGTTGCCGAGGAGGCTGTGGGGCTCTGTGGGGCTTCTCCGATGCCCTGGTCTCTGGGTAGCGTACCCACGGGGCTGCCTGCAACCTTCAGGGGCCTTGAACGTGGCTGCCCCACCGCGGGGTGGGGTTCCAGAAGATTCAGGTTCTCCCGAGAGGCGTTCCTCTGTCGGGGGTGGTTGAAAAGGAGGTGGACTGTGTCCTGCAGCACCTCCTGGCTCTCATCCAGGGCTCCCAGGTTGCCCCGGTTACGCAGGGTCCTATACAGGGTTGGAGTCAGGTGAAATGGGGCCTGTAGGCAGGGGTCCCAGCCTTCGCCCGCATTTGCTTCCTGACTTGGGTCTTTGTGGGGCTGTCCAACTTCACAAGGCTCTTCCACCTGGCCCCTGAGCACAGGTACCAGGTGGATGTCAGTCTTCTGAATGTGTTTCTGGGGCCTCTTGGGCTGGTGGCGGTAGGTGGACTCAGCCTCCCGACAGTTGTAGGCTTGGCTGTCCTTCTTCTCTGTCCGACGGATGGACATGACCAGAGCCAAGATCAACCCGAAGATGGCCAGCAGTACCGCCAGGCAAATCACCGTCAGCACCACGGTGCTCAGGGCCCCTTGATCAGGGGCCAAGTCTCTCAGGTGATCCACACTGGTGACAAACATGACCTTCAACAGAACTTGGGTCTGCAAGGGGGGGCTGCCCCGGTCCTCTACCTCTATCTCCAGCTCCCACTCACTACCAATGAGGCTGCTGGCATTAGTGACATTAATGAACAGCTGCCCCAGGTCGGGGCTGAGGACAAAGAGGTACGCTTTGTTACCACGCCGAATGCTGTAGTGAAGCTCTCCGTTAGCTCCTGAATCTGCATCTCTTGCTACAATGGTCACCAGGAAGAATGGCGGGGGAATGCGGGGGGCCACGGGTAGCATACCAGCACCTCTTGGATCCAAGCCACTGGGGGTCTCAATGGGCACCAGAAGGTGGCCTGTGGAGGCATTTACAAGAACCGAGAGACTGGCTTTGCCATTGCTCAGCACAGGCTGAATCACTTCTGGGGCGTTATCATTGACATCCAGGAGGCTGACCCACATGGAGACACTAGATGCAAGCTGCGGTTGCCCCCGGTCCTCTGCTATCACTTGGAACTCAATGCTGGTCATCTGTTCATAGTCCAGAGCCCTCTGAGCAGTGACTTCTCCTGTGTCGGCATCAATCGCTACCAAGTGGGAAACCGGGGAGTCCTGGATGCGGTACGAGATTTTCCCATTGTTGCCCAAGTCTCCATCATGAGCCTGGACAGTGATGAGGTGAAGAGAAGGTAGGTTGTTTTCTCGCGTGGAGACCTCATACCTGCTCTTCTCAAACACAGGGGCGTTATCATTGACATCGCTGATCTGAATGCTGAGTTGCTTCTTGTCAGACAAGGGCTGGGATCCTTGGTCTTGGGCTAACAGAGTGAGAGTATAATCCGGCCACTGCTCTCTGTCCAGCGTGGCATCCGTTAGCAGCATGTATGTATTGCCGTTGGTCCTGTTCAGCCTGAAGTGGTCTAGCTCTTGGTTGAGCCAACAGTGGACCAAGCCGTTGTTTCCCGAATCCAAGTCGTTTGCTGTGATGAGAGCGATCAGGCTGTCTTTGGGAAGAGCTTCGGACACCAGTGGTGCCTCAGAGGCCCACGTGATGTGGATGCTCGGGGCATTGTCATTGATGTCCAGAACTTTGATGAGAACTTTGCAGTGGGATGGGATGGGATTGGGCCCCAGGTCTTTCGCCTGGACATCCACCTCGTAGACCGGTTTCTCCTCGTAATCTAGTGGTTGACGCAGAACAAGCCGGCCCGTCTTGGCCTCGATACTGAAGGTTTGCAGCACCTCTGTAGGCATGTGCTTGCCCAGGGAAAACTCCACCTCCCCGTTGGGGCCTAGGTCAGGGTCCGTGGCAGTCAGGTTGATGAGGAGGGTACCAGGGACAGTGTCTTCTTGGATTTCCAGTGCCACCAAGCTCTCAGCAAACACAGGGCTGTTGTCATTGGAGTCTAGGACGTTGACCTTGATCAAGCAGGTACCCGACTTGGGGGGGTCCCCGTTGTCATAGGCAGTTAGGACCAGGTCAAAAAACGAGTGGATTTCCCGGTCCAGCTCCTTGATCACCACGAGCTCAGCATACTTGGTCTCATCGGGCCCCACGATGATATTCAGGGCAAAGTGCTCACTGGGAGACAGGGTGTACAAGTGCAGCGTGTTGGGGCCTGTGTCTGGGTCAACGGCCCTGTCCAGAGGGATCCGGGTGTCCAGAGAGGCACTCTCGGAGATTTCTAGCTCCTGCTTGTCCTTGGGGAACTGGGGCTGGTGGTCATTGATGTCCAGCACCTGGATCTGGACATGGATCAGGGCGGAATGCTTGAGCGCAATCAGGTCAAAGGAAGCCAGGCAGGGGTCCTGCTGTGGGCAGAGCTGCTCCCGGTCCAGCCGCCCCATTGTGCTGAGCATGCCTTCCTCGGCCATCACCTCAATGTTGAGCACCCGAGGCGGATACACGACCCGAGGCGGATGCAAGACCCGAGGCGGATGCAAGGCCCGGAAGGGACCCCCTATGGGGCCCTTCCGCTGCTCCACCCGGCCCAGGTCCTGGGCCAGCTTCCCTATCACCGTCCCGCGTGGCACTTCCTCGGCTACTTGGTAGGTCACAGTGAGAGTGGCTACTCCCTGACAATCCCCTGAAAGAAACAAATAGCCACCTGGCCCCCAAAGCCCCAGCAGAAGCGGCAGAAGTTGAGTCATGCTTACCGCCAGCGGTGGATAGATCCAGAAACCGCCAGAAACCTTCAGAGACTGAACCCTTCAGCGACGGCGCGGCCCGCCAGCGTTCCCTGGCTGGCTGAGTGCCCTTCGTTCTGCTGTGCTCTGAATCCCACCAGCTGCGGGCCGGCCCGCGAGGACAAGGACTCCCAAAGCTAGAGGATGACGGAGCGAGCGGGATTCCCCGGCAAGAGCATGTTCATCTGAAGGGAGAGGTCCCAGCGCGGATGAAGTAACCCTTGCCAGGCACTCGCAGGTCAATCCCAGCAAGTGATGGACGCAAGCCGGCCCAGGCGGGACTGGAGCCAGCAGAGCAGGATGCGGACGCTCTGACTTCCAAACAGTTGCCAGGCTGGGGAAACAGAGAAGCAGCTTTTTCCTATGGAAACCCCACCTACAGGAAAAGGGAGGGCTGCGAGTTCCAATGTCAATTAACGAAAGGGCACGTCCAGCGAAGCAGAGCGGCCTGCAGTGGAGGACGATGCGCGCGCGGGCCGGCTCCCGGGCCGGGCTGGATGGGAAGGTGCGGACCTCGCGAGTGGTGGCCGCTCAGGGGCAGGGAAGGACGCCTGTGTGACACAGCGCGGCGGAGAACCTGAACTCGGTCTGGGGCAAGTTCCCGCCTCGCTTCCTGTTCTCACGCCTTCCTATCCCAGCTTTTTCTCATGATGTCATCAAGGATAACGATCTTTCCTTCCCTCCCCACACTTGTCTATCTCTTGTTCTTGACTCTGACCCCACGCCTCCCTTTGGTTTCCTGGGAAGCCCTGGTCTCGCTGCAGGAGCCTCGGCGACACGGTGGGGTACCCATCGGGCTGCTCACCACAAGTTCAGCTGTTCGCAAACACCAGCTGCTCCGAGGGAGAAAGATGAAGCTGTATGTTCCCATAGCGATTGACGGCCTGGGAAATCTCTGAGAGCAGTCTGCCTCTGTCCCATAGGGTCACTGTGAATCCGAATGACAGTGAACCATTCTGGCTTTTGGGGTCTGGGAAGCCGCTGTGGTCCAGAGAGTGGATGTCAAAGCTAAACCATCAGGGCTCAAACCAGGAAGGTTGAAATTTTCCAGCGGAGCCATCTGGGCCAGGTCACTAAGGCTCCCCAGGCCTCCTTAACCTCCTTAACCAACGGAGTGAGGAGGGGTCTCAGCTTGAGGTTGTAAGGATTGAATGAAGGGTCGTAAAGCCATCAAGTGGATTCGGACTGGGAATGGAATTGCCCCTGTGGGTTTCTGAGACTGTAACTTTACAGGAACCGAACGTGTTTTTTTTTTCTTTTAGAGAGCTGGTGGCTTTGAACTGCTGACCTTGTGGGTAGAGTCTACTGCATTACCCACAATGCCACCAGGACTCCCGTGAAGGGGCCTTTCTAGAGGCACCGGCGTTTTTATTCTGGTGGGGCTGAATCTGGGTGCCGTGCCCCACTTTGTGGCTGCCCTCGATTCTTGCGCTGCCCCTAGGCGGTGTCGGAGCTCCCAATAAGCAAGGTAAGCACTGACTTACTAGTGTTTACTTATGCATCTTTAGTGAACAACTTCACATGTTTTCACCACATCAAAGATCCTGCTTCTAGGCATGGCTGGCATCTGTCTCTCTCCCAACCCCACCACATTTTCCCGCAGAATCAAAGCTCCTTTTAAAATTTACAATCTGGACAGGGAAAGACTACCCAGGAAGCAAGGTAAGCACAGGCTTATGTGTGCTTATTTACTAATCTGTAGTGAAGTCTTTCACATTAAAAAAATTTTTTTTGTTAGTTTGGATTTAGTTCATATATCATTCCATATTTCAATCACATCAAGTAAAATGGTACAATTACTACCACAATTGCTATCAGTTTCAAAAAAATCTTTTTCTATGTTTCACATGTTTTATTTTGACTCTATCATGCAGTAAAAAATGTGAAATGGCTCACTACAGATGAGTAAGTAAGCACAGGGAAACCCATGCTTACCTTGCTTACTGGGTAATCTGCCACAGTACCTGCTCCCACGAACCCCGTGGGGTGCCCATAGGCTGGGCTTCAGAAGACTCAGAAATCTCTGTGATCTGACGGTGTTTTCCCTCCCCACTCCTTCCTGCTTCCCCCTCCTCTAGGCCTATTGTTTTCTGGGCTGGAGCCAGCCTTAGCCACTGTGGGGGAACCCCCAGCCTCCCAGGCCTCCCCCCCGCACCCCACCCCCACCCCCGCCTCAGAGAAGCTCATGTTTCCCTCACCCACACCTTCCTCTCCCTGTGTCTGGGTCTTCCCTTCCTCTCATTCTTCTCAGAGCTGAGGCTGTGGTTTCTCCTCCTCAGTCTGCTGGGTGGAGCCCCAGCATTCCCCTGCCTTCACCCCACCTGAAGCCTGACTCCAGAGGTCTGGAAAGCATTTGAAGTGATGTGGAAGGACCAGGAGTTTGCCGCAGACCCTCAAGGGTAGAGGTGCCCCACTTGTCAGGGCCTGTTGGCACGGAGGCCTGCGGGCATTGGACCTGGACCTAAGGACCAGCTGGGTCTGTAGAGCTGCATAGCCATGTTCTTCCACACTGTATCTCACGCCTCAGGTTCCCTTCATCCCACGTAAGCCTGTGAACCATCGCCACGGGCCAGAATCCCCGGACGTTTGCTTGGTGTGGCTCTGGAGATGCTGCACAAATCCCTGAACCTGCGCCTCTGTTTCTCTTTCTGTAGAGTGGGACTGCGCGCCCACCTCGTGCCGGTCAATGGTCAAGTTCAAGGGTCAATGAGATGATATGCCATCTGGGACCATAGAGAGAAAGCATTCGTTCCGTGGGATTGTTCGATCTCTGCTCATTGTTTTCCAGGGCTTGTTCCCAGGGAGGATGCTTTTGCCTCCTCCCTCTGCTCTTTTCTTTACCTTCTTGACCGAAGAAGTTCATTCCCAGGTCTCTCTCTGCGTGGGCTTGGGCAGGGTGCTGCCTGTGCTCCCTGGCCGCTAAGCGGCACTGGAGCTCCGACTCCGAGGGGCGCTTTGCCCTCCAGTGACAGGCGATGGCCTCCTTCATCCTACTATTCGCTAGGTGGTGAAGGAGACAAAGCGACCCCTGAAGGGCTTACAGCCCAACGAGGAGGAAGGGAAACTGAAACAGGTGACCCAGTGGAGTGGCTCTGGTTTCAGGACAGGGCCGGGAAAGGTTCCTCCTGAAGGTTACTCCGTGCATCCTAAAGGACCGGGAGGAGTTGGCCAGAGGATGGTGATCGGGCAGGGGACAGGCAGGGCAGGAAGATGTGTGTGGTAGTTACATCATCTGGTGTCAATTTGAGAGGATTACGAGTGAAGGGCTGGAGTCTGGCCTATTGATCAAGATATACCCAATGAGGCCTCTGTGTGGGCATGGCCTTCCTCTGAGAATTCTGGGAACTCCGGCAGTTTTCCTCCTTGGAGGCGGGAGACACTTTCTTCTCTCTTTGTTCACTCCTTTTGAGACTCTTTACAGACAAGGCGGACGCCCCTAGACATCCTTGAAGAGAAGCCACATGGACCTACCTTGATGCAGCCCAGGGTGCTGGGGAAGCCACGTGGAGACCCCTGCCAGGGCTGAGATGCTTATACCACCACTGGATCCAAAAGACTTTGCACCCATTGGCCTGTGATCGTCCTGCGTTTGGCATTATTGCATGTATTTCATGAGTCTGAAGAGGACTTTATAGATTGGTATCGCGCATATAGGCTAATATTGGACTCGTGGACTTGATCTGGACTGTGCTGAGATGTTTACTCACTATTCAATTGTTCTTGTATATAAACCTCTTTCTTATATACATTTGAGTGTCAGTGAATTTGTTTCTCTAGTCTACCCAGACTAATACAATGAGCTTAAGAGGCAAAGGCCTGGGAGTGGGTAAGCTGGCTCCTGACTGAGCTGTAGCAGGACCTTTAGGGTTGAGTAGGGAGAAGGAAGAGACGGCTACAAGAAAGGCCTGGGGTCCCATGCTTAGGACTTGGGCTTGTCCTGGAGGCCAGGGAGAGCTTCTGAAGAGCTCCAAGCAGGCGAATGAGAACAGCAGCTCCACTGAGTGCATTGGCTGCATCACCTTGCGCCTCCTCACAACTAGCCCATCGGGTTGCAGAAGCCAAAACACAGGGGTTAGATCATTTGCCCAAACTCATGTAGATTTGCCCTCCAGAAAGCCCCTGCTTGCTCCCCTTCTGGAAAATGGCCAGAGGAACCAAGAGGAGGGAGGGAGCCCGATGAAGAGTAATGCAGGAGAGCTTTGGCGCAGAGCATTCTGGTGGTGAGAATGCTTCCAGAGTGCCATCTGGTGGCTAAAGGTAGAGAAAAAGGCAGGGAAGGAGGCCAAACCAACCAAACTCTCTGCCAAGGAGTCCACGTAGTGACCCTATAAGACAGGGTAGAACTGCCCCCTGTGAGTTTCCAAGACTGTAACTCTTTGCAGGAGTAGAAAGCTCCATCTTTCTCCCAAAGAGTGGCTGGTGGTTTTGAACTGCTGATCATATGGTTAGCAGTCCAAGTGCGTAACCACTATACCACCAGAGAGGTAACCAGCTCCAAACCCCAAACCTGTTGCTGTAGAGTTGATTCCAACAGAGGAGGGTCTCCAAGGCTATAAATCTTAATGGAAACACCTCATCTTTCTCCTGCAGAGCAGCTAGTAGGTTCAAACTTGGGACCTCTCAGTTATCAGTTGAGGGCTTAGCCATTGTGCCACCAGGGCTCCTGTAAGGGCGTGCCAGGGGCTCCCCAAGACTCCAGCTCTGTGCCGTGCCCAGCAGAACACAGCAGAGGGCTGCACACAGATCAGAGGATACCTCTCTCTCGCAGTGTGGGACCAATGGCCAAAGAAGGGACGATGGCATTTTGAGACCTGTGATTGTTTTCTGCCTTTTGAATTCTTAAAAGGTTGTCTTCATTTCAGGTTCCAAAGTGGGGGTGGGGGTGGAGCAAACACATGTGTAATCCAAATTCAAGCTTTCTTATGACCTGGGAATGCTGGGAATCTAGTTTTTGCAACCATGGACCCAGCGAAGAGTACCCAACACACACTAACCCCACAGGCATATACTCATATAAAAGAATCTTCTTTTAGGAATATAGATGTTAGCACAGGCAAAATCAGGGCCTCGGGGAGACACCGAGGTCAACGGGCATGACATGGTTCATAAAGATAATGTTCTCCATTCCAGTTGGGTGAGTTGTGTTTGGTGAGTTGTGTTAAAAGCTTGTGAGTGACCATCAAAGATACAGCAGTTGGTCGCTTCCTGTCTAGAGCTAAGTGGAGGGAACGAAACC